TTACAATAAAGTGAAATAGCTTCAAGTGTTGCCCTCTCTGGGGCATTGGCTTAATAAATGCTGTTAGCCCCTTGAAACCCAATGGCTCCAAACCCAAGGCTAGCTTTCCAGACACTGGTCCAACAGGCCAAAGGCTGTTGAAAGGATTGGCTTCTTACAAACTCACATCAAGCAACGCTGTCTACGCTGTTGACCCCACCTACTGTAGAACTAGCCTGGTGGGAAGAATTGTCTCAACAATTTGAGAATCTACCTCAAGCGTAAGCCTAGGAGGGAGAATGAAGGACATTTGTCTTTGATGAGGAAATACAATCTTAAGCCTCTGGATAGGTGGTTGCTGTAATACACATGGTCCCAGAAAGCTGAGCTGTCACATTTAGCTAACGGATGGAAGCATGAAAAACTTTGGAAATATCAAAGCTTAACATTTTTCCAGTAACATTAATTCACTTATACTGTACATAATTTTTTTAGATTACTCATTAAGCTGTTAAAACAGCTTTATATAGAATATGAGAAATATGGGTTGCTTGTACATGACTAAGAGTCTCTCAGGCTTTGTATCTCCTAACAATTTTTTTTTTTTTGAGTATAAATTTGTACCTGAGTGCTTTATTAGCATAGCTCTTTGCATATAATTTCCCAGGTGGTTTTTTGTTTTAAGAGAAAGTATGACTGGAGCAAAGGAACTACCAGTATTTAATAATGTTTGCATTTAAATAATCTACATAGATTTTGAGGTTAGCACAGTGATGGGGTGCATGTGTGACGGGAAGGTAAAGTTCACCATTTTGCTCCTACTGCTGTGCATTCGGAGGCTTCTTTTTAACCAGCCAAACCTGAGCAGATGGGAGAAGAAAGCTTAGAGCAAGATAGAGCTTCTCTCTTCCACATTTGCAACCACTCACCAAGATATTCCTTCTTGTAAAGTATTAATAGTTTACCCAGAAACTTCCCTGGGTAAAGTCCTCAGACTGGACAACTCCACTTTCTTCATCAGAACCTGGCCCTATTACAACCCTTAACCTAGATGTCTTGCTCTCTGTCACATAGCCATGGTGGATAAACGAGTTCATCTGAGAGGGAGTGGGAAGTGAGGTGTAGTCAAATTTCACTGGAACTTGAGTATTTCACCAGAATTCTCTTACTGTAAATTCTTTCATACGAACAATGGGAACAGACTGTCTAAGTCATAAAATTGTATTGAATAAGTGAAACTGAGTTACAATTACAGGAAAGTGCCTGTAATGTTGTTCTGCTTTGTTTCCTGTACCTCCACCCCTTTCTCCCCACATGCACCAAGAAATTCCAGAGGAGAATCTTAACATCAGGAAGGGTGCAAGTGATGATTTTTGTTCATGATGCCTTGGGCATAGACCATTCTTTATTACACATCACAGCCTGGAGCGTACCAGCACTGTTCCTAACATATTGTGATGCAGTGAATTTTAACCATCCTCACAAAAAGTTAAAATTTAAAGCAGCAACAAAAATTTATTTGCATAAAACATGATGTAGGGTTCATTGTGATTGGGTAGAATCTCATCTTGGGGAAGCAGGGATTGGAAACCTCTCATGTGCTGTCATGAGAGCAAGGGAATCCAATATCTTTAGCACATACAGTAAAAACCTGGAGCACAGAACGAGGTTCCTCGGAGCCTAGAAAGGGCACCTTATGCTAGACTCAGGCTCAGGTTGCCTGACCACTGAAGACTCCAAAGGAAATGCTATCAGGAAGTTTGCTTGTCCTCTGTCAGGTCAAATTTGGACATCAGGCTTAGGAAAGGTGGGCTGATTGCTGAAACAAATTTGGGAGGCTATCTGGAAAAGGGACAGTGCTGATTATATTAGTTATATGTGAGGCTCAACTTCTATTAGCAGTTTAGGATTCTCACTGTGTTCCCTCTAAACAAATTGGATGGGGAAGAAAAACTGAGTTAAATTAAATCATGAAAAAATAATTAGTTTTAATTTTCAAAGTAAACATTAGTATGCTTTTTCAACCTTCTTCCCTGACCACGAACCAGAGACAAAAAGATTTGTGTCCGGAGACAACATTCATTTGCAGTGTATGCTCTAGAAACCTGAACTGAGGACCGTAGGTCTTCAGGCAGTTCTGGCAATTAATTTGAAGCACTAGGAACCAAAGATCCTCCCTCTCTTATTTTTTCTTGCCTTCAAGACATTGTGAGGAATATTTTTTAATCTTGGAATTTCTAGCGTGTAGCATAGTGCCAAGAACAGAGTATTTGCTTGATAATTTTTGTGAATGAATGGGTGAAGTACATACGTGTGAGTCACTTACCAACCTCAGGTCCCTACTTCATTTTACTTATACACATGTCATTAGGGGCATTTGTGTGTGTCTGTGGGTATTTGTATACAATACAATATATTATTATTACGTATGTATTCAAGATATTGACACATCTTAATGCTTGTCGGGGAAAATGAAGTTTACATGGTGATACATACATTGTTCATCATGGCCAGCCTTTCACTGAAAATTACAAAGTGAGCCATTCTGTTTTTATTCCAATGGATTTGTAAACTAAGTTTTCCTTAGTACTAATTATTTTTCTTGTTTTTCACAGCAAAATGTATTGACCTACATTTGATATTATAATATAGTGTATCTGCTGATGTATACTCATTGCATATAAAATAGATACTCATAGTTTAAATAGACAAGCATTTCTATAAGATCTGATGAAAGACAACAGTATCTTCCCAGAACTGTCCTCATCCCACTTCAAGGCTCGTTTCCAAGAAGCACTGACTTTCAACTTTTTAGCAATTTCTTTTGGAACCGATTTCCATGCTGTGTAATAGCCCACTTACACTGATATTTCTTAATTTTGCATTTGTAGACATTGTATTTTGACTTCACCAGATGTAAAGTGAAGATTGAGTTCATTGTCTTATGCACACACATTCACACACACCCCTCCCATTCTCCATCTTTCCCAATGTAATCATTTCACAATTTTTAGTGAAATCTGTAGGCAGTGTTGAGGTTATGGAGATTGTGTAATTATTGCTTAGCCACAGATGGCATTGGGACTACACTTCCACTTTGTACAATATTTTGTTCCTTAATAATCATTGCCTTGTTTTTCACCTATGACCTTATGACAAATTTGTAGTGAAACTTCTGACAGATTGCTAAAACTATCCCCCAAATGGTCAAACACAGCAGGTAAACTGTCAACTCTGATTTGTTTGATCTCGTCTGTTTGGAGGACATTCCTCTTGGACCATGTCTTCCTGGCACACGTAGAAGAACTGCTCTCCAGGCCTGTCACACCAGCAGTCTTGAAGTTATTGCTCCTGCCCTTTACCTCGGTTCCCCTGTCTTCTTCCTTCTTATGTGGGAGTAAGCTATCTTCCAGTGGCTTCTGAAAAGCTGTGCATGGGAAATAAAAGGTTGAGACCTTGCTGTTCTTGAAGGTGTCTTCGTTCTACCCAACCATCCAGTTAGTTCAGCTGAGTAAGAATTCTAGGTGCAAATGGAAAGACATTTCTCTTTTGTCTTCTAACGTTCCCATTGACTTCTTTCAGCATTTCTATGATATTAAATACTACCGTGACTCCCAACTCTTTGTACAAGACCTATTTTTTTCTCTCCAAAAACTGTCTGGGTCATTTCTGGTGTTCTCAGCTTCACTGTGGTGGGCCTTAATGGAGATCTGTTTCCATCCGCTGTGATGAGCTCTTAACAGGCCCTTTCAATGTCTAGATTTATCTCCTTGACTTTGGGGAAATATATTATGTTAGCACTTCAGTAATGCCCTCTCCTCTATTTTCTTGTTTTCTTTCTAACTTCCTATTATTTCAAGTGGTCGATTCTATGCACTGATCTTCAAATTTTATAATTTCTCCCTGATTCTTATTCCTTTGTCATTTTTCCTCTTCTTCTTCTTCTTCTTCTTTTTTTTTTTTTTGTTAGTTTTTTAGGGACTTTTACTCTTTGGAAGTTCTGTACATAGACTCTTGTCCTTATTTTAGTCATGCAATCAATGTCTATTTGGATACTAACTGTTGTATTTTTCTCTCCTCTCTCTTGTGATTTTTCTCTGTTTTCCCCCAAATTTGTTTTCCTGTCTTTCTTTCTTTTTTCTTTCTCTCTCTCTTTCTTTCCTTTATTTATCTCCTTTTTTCCTGCTTATCCGTATTGGTCTCTAACTCAGCTATTAAGTGTTTTCCTCAAATGTCTGGTGATTCTGGCTTATCCATTTATATTTAAGAGCCAGACACTAAAAATCTGATTGTATGTGGGGTACAGCTGATAGACTAGTAGCCTTCACAGGAAAGTTATTGATTGGGGCCCTTTTGGCACCTTCAAAATGGAGATCTATATGTCTCATTTCTTGCCTTCATTTCCTCAGAGAAGAATTCTGATTTCTCATTAACACAGTTCTTGAAAATAAAACAATATTGGCATCCGTAAATATTTTGTTGTTGTTGTTGTGTAATTTTACTATCACATTTCATAGTAATAGGTCTTCACAAATTTAGTTTTGAAATCATGATGGGAAATATCCTGAATGCCAAACTGAAGGAGGAAATTTATAATTTGTCATAACCTTCATGCCCGAAACCTTTAACAAAAAATTGCTGTTCATAAGGCGGTAACAGCTGGGTTCCTACATGAGATAACTGGTTGGTTTTGTTCTACATGATTTTCTCCTTTGATTCATGGGGGCTAATGTAAAGCAATACTGATGAGATTATTAAGATAACCAAAAGGTGGGGGCCTCCATGGAGCCGGGCCAGGCTTTACTCAGGTACCTCTCACTTGTCATTGCACACACAGCTCTTTCCTACTGTCTTGGTTATGGCTGTTGTTGGCAAGAGAATAGCAAGTGAACAAACAAAAGTCCAGCATCTTCTTCAGCACGTGGCACTCTTCAGAGCCTGGAAGTCAAGACCACGCAGAGTTCTAATTCTAGTAATTTATTAAATGGAACTGCCCTTGTGACCTCAAACAGGGAGTGCTCTGATAGAAAAAAATGAACAGTGCATTCACTTCTCACCTCTGACAGCTGGCCTGAGATTGATATCTGCCATTTCTGCCTTCACTAGGGTATCAGGTAATGAGAGCTGGTAAAGGATTTGGTGATGTCAGAATAAAAGCCTTTCATAATACTAAGAACTGTCAGAATGCTTAAAAATATGACCATGGGACGTCGTCACCAGCAAGAACTTTTTTGTGAGATGTGATGAGCAAGTGGATATCAACTCATATCAACACCATGAAACACTGCACTGTTGGTCACGAAAGAGGAGATACATCACACCAGAGACGGATGAAGCTATTTGTGCCATTTACAATGCCAAGGAAACAGACAGGGTGCCTATGGCCATTATTTCAAAGCTATAAAACTTGTGTCTTTGCCCGCAGTGGAATATACTCTAAATTGGTCACAGTCAAAAAGGATTCAAAAAACCATGAGAAAAATAGAAGAAAGAAAACCTTCCCAGATCATTGTTGGACACACATACATGTACACAACTGAGTGATAACAGAGAAGGAACTCAAGGTGAGTAGCACAAGAGTTAACAGGTAAACTAAAAACTAATTTCGAATATAATCCAAGATTATAGAGCTTTCCATGAGATAGTTGATATTTATAAGAAAACTGGACAAATGAAAAATAATTTAAAAATGATTCTCTGCTTTACAGAAGGATCTACCTCAGAGCTCCTTTCCTGAGTTGAGGTTTTTGATGGGTTTTAGATTATTAACTGATGCAATTGTCAGAGTTAGGGTTGAGGGGACAGGAGTACAGGCAGCTGCTGCCAGGTGAAAATTAATTATAAAAAGAAAATAGAGTCTTTAAATTGATAATTTAGGGAGCTGGAAAACTGGAAACTCATTCGCAACAATTTGATTTTTGCATGGATTTTCAAAAACATGAATTTCGGTAATTGGCAAAGTACATCCACAAAAACCTGTAAAACCAATGTTTATTTCTTGAAGCCTCTACACTGTGAGCATCCGTGCTACTTTGTTGGAGGAAGGGGAACCCTTGTCTTCTTTCTGGGTTTACAGCAGCAGTTCTAAGATTTTTAAATTTCATAATCAATAAAATTAAGACAGCTAACAAGAAAAGATTTGTGTGCAGGTGGGTAGGGGGAACAGACACAGGGTCACCAATTGTTTTTTTGTTTCACAATAAAGATGCAAACAAAGCAAAGTCTACTATCTTAGTATTTCTTTCATTTCATATAAAGACAATAAAATCCAAAAAAAAAAAAAAATAAGAGTACAGTCTCAAAATAAAAGGCAGTCCTTCATTAACTTAAAATAAATTTAAACAAAATTTTCACTCCATAGTCTTTAGATTTTTCATTTTATAATGTAAAACCTGTGCGTGATGCAGCAATGGTTATTGGAAGCAAGTTTGTGAGCTACTCATCTAGACATTGCCAGATCCTGAAAGTTTTCTATTTAGTCTTGATATAACTATGTAGTGGAGCTGGAAGGGGGCTTAGAAATTACTTTGTTAAATTATTTCTTTTACAATGAAAGAATGAAGGCTTTGTCTTGTCTAGGCTAGCCCAGCTAACTGGGGTGTGAATGGGGTTTTGGCCAGCTCTCCTTCCGACGCACTTTGCAATGCTGCCTGTCACTCCTCCACTTGCCTGAGATGCTAACATTTTGGCACAGCTGAGCATGATATGGAGGCTCTGAAGGAAGGACTCTTGGAAGTTGAAAGGGTTTCACTTTCAAGAAGTATTTATTGGGTACCTACTCAGGGCAACTCCCAGTGGAGAGGAAGAGCCCTTTTTCCTCAAGTTGAATATAATCCTGTCTGGAAGACAAGTCAAGTACCTGAAAATAAACCTAACAATGTTCAATAACGCAGGATTGAACATTTCATGAGTAGGCAGACAACAGGGATCAACAGGGCCTGGGGAGACAGAGTCATCATGTGCTTCTGAGGAACATTTATGGGAAGCAGCAGTGTTGCCATGTGTAATTTGGTTTTGGGGCCCCAAATCTGCATCAGACTGTGTAAGCACTACGCAGCTGGAGCCTTACTAGACCTCTCACAAGGGCCTTTGGTGCCTTCACCTTTCGTCCTTTCATTTCAGCTCTCACAAGACAAAGAACTCAGGAATGGAGAGTTTTGAAGAGGGCAGGAGGACGAGCAACGAAACATTTAACACCCCTTTTTCATTCTCATTAAATGCCACAACCTTCACTGTTAAATATGCTCTTGACCTTGTAGGACAAACTCTAGAAGCAAATTTCTCATTTGCCGGCCTCTCCCTGGGCCTTCTGCGACATACTGTCGCTCAGACAAGTACTGTTCTTAATGGGTTTATGGGAAAGGCTTGGCCTGCCTTTCCATCTGCACCTTCTGCTGGCTCCCTCCGAAAAGCGCGAGCTTGCCATACGACATTCCCTTGAATTATTTAGATTGGTAAATCTTTCTGCATCTCACATCTTTAGTCCATCTGTTAGCCGGAGCTTTGCCTTTATAGGAAGTGTCCTTTATGCATGCTGGCATCTGTCAGCAGTACACTTCCCTCTTTTATTCATGATCTTCTATGGGAGAGGGTACAAGCTGCAGAAACGCCGCATGCCTGGTATGCATTTCATTTTAATGGAAGATTACATGACTGGGGTGCTGGTTTATTACCTTGCTCCACATGCATCCATTCATCACCTGGCAGCCCCCTCACCCACCCTGTTAGGAGGTGCTGGCCCTTCTGCAGCCCCTTGGTCCCGGCTCTATGCAGGAAGTGGGCTTGATGGGGGAGAGAAAACTAATCCTTTAAGAAAAGATGAAAGATCGGGAGAAAAGAAAAATATATAACGGAGAATCATGGGTCGGGGAAAGGGAAAGGTCTTGATCTCAGGCCACTACCCAGATGCAGACATGGAATTATTTGTACAAAGCACTAGATGCATTAAGGAAAATGTCAGCGGGAACACACTGTGTCCCAGCTGAGTGTATTCTCCCTGAAAATCATGCTCCTAAACGTATACTTTTTTCTTGTTTTCCACTCACAGAGTAATTAAATCTCAGCAAGGTCTTCTCATCCAATTTTCTTTTTAATGCTGGAATAGCCTTTATAATACTGTTTGCCAAATGTGGATTATCCATGAGAAATAATCTTCTATAAGAATTTTCAAATTATTTTATGTTGGCATTTTGATGTCAGTCTAAAAATAATCAATATAAAGATACCTAAATAGGGTGATCATATATACTAGTTGCCTGAAACATTCACAGTTTATGCCTATTGTATGTAAATTAATGCCTGACAATTATTTTTATCACTCTCCTTTTACTCACAAAAGCGTGCTGGTTTGGATCCTAAATTATGATCACGCTAATAAAAAAATCCTAATAAAAAAATTACTTGAATGACCTCTCTGTATTTGACTATTGCCAATATGATTTCAGGGTCCATGTTAGAAACTGTGTTGCTTCCCCATTGGTACCATGTCAGGCTTCTTTACTACAGAAATAATGGGTATGTGCTCATGAGGAACAGACCAACATCTATATTTGGAAGACAATTTCTCCTTCTAACTAGGGTATTTTTCAACTTAGCTTTCATTAATTTTCTTAATGAATATTCTGTGAGTGCCTACTATGTGTCACATACTTTTCTAGATTGTGTTTTCAATGTAAACAGGACAAAAGTCTTTGCACTGATGGGACTTACATTCATTGAAAATGACTGAGATTATATTCTGATTGACAGCCACTTACAGTTTCGTATACATATTTACATTCATAAAGGATATATTGTATGTTCTAGCATTGAGTGAGCACAGATTTTCAGTAGTAGAGATAAGCAGAGTGAGGCAAATAACAGATCAGAAAGGCAATGAGGACCAGCACCAGTTCAGAGGAACCACTGATACACCAGCTCTTATCACCTGTGAGTCATATTCCTTATCCCTTCCACTGTATTAGATACATTGTAAAGGAAAATGAAAAGGATGAGTGCTGAGGTCCTGGTACTTGTTATGGGGACCTATGGAAAAATGGAAAGTGCCAAAGATATGTATGAGTTAATCCTGTGAGCACAAGTGAGAATTCTCTGATATTTTATTGAAAGAGAACATTGGAAAGAAAACCAATCTAGACTTCTCTGAGGTAGTCAATCAGAACCAGGCATGTAAAGATTTGGAAGTACAGTTTACTGAAAAGTCCCTCAATTTTCCAACTCTTCCATTAAATTTCTATTTCTACTATTATATTGTTAATTTTCAAGAGTTCTTTCTTTTTCCCTGACTCAATTTTTTTAAATCACCCTGTCAGAAATGTATTAATGCAACATAATCTCTTATCTCTCTGAGGATATCAATTACAATTTGGTTGTTAAAGATTTCTTCTCCCTACAAAAGTCTTTGTTTTCTATGAAGTCCTTTCTTTTATACTTGATTTTGGTTCTATCTTTAATCTTAGATGCTTTTTATAAACTATAGGCCAACCTTTGATGGTCCATTTATAAGAGTGAGGTTTAAAAAGCCAATTGGAAGCTCCACTTGCCTGAGAAGGGCTTGTTGGCTGGCGGGATTCACTGCATGGCAATTGGGCAGTACCACGTGTTTTCACTAGAAGTTTTCCAAATGTCAGTTTCTGTAAGTCTTTTCTCTTTGACATTCAGCCTCCCAAGAGTGGTAGCTTCCAGTCTCCTTCCTGGAGGGCGTAAGCTGTCTGCATTCTAAAGAGTAAAAGGAGTGTGGAGACTGGAGAGTCCCACGGTTCAGAGTGAATACTTTTACTTAACCCCCTTTCCCTCTACGGCACCTGGTCTCTTACCTCTTGCCAGGATGGGGAGAAAGTAATCACCTGAAAGGATTGGAAAAGGTCATCAGGGGGACTAACTGGACTTCAAACATACTTTCAAACAATCTTCCCATTTCAGTCCCTTTGGATTTCACCTTCAGAGGTCACAGGTGCTGTTCTAGGGTTCTGAAGCTGAATGCAGTATCTTCCTCTTGGTGCCTATTCTGAAGTCTTGGGCTTGGATATTTTTGCTCTGCTGAGTGAGTTACAAGCAGTCCATCTGCTTTCTCTTTTCCAAAATGTTATCTATATCTTCTATCTGCCACCATGTTCTTCTCTCTTCTTGTGAATTTATAGATTTATACCTTATTTAAAAATTACAGAATTCTAGTGGAGTTTCAGGAGGGAGCGGAAATAAAAATTTGCGATCCATTTCCAACTTTAACTGAAGATCCCTTTCTTTCTTTTCCAGGAGAAAAATTTCTGATTACTCTTACAAGTCTTGAAAACATATTGAGCTCTCTTGAATGTCTTTTCATAACACAATCCATTGTTTTCTGGCTTATTTCAACTCCCAACTATCATAATAAATGTAAAATACAAAACTTACGGAAGTAAGGATTTTTTTTTACATTACCACATGCTAAAGTGACAATATAGAAATGATGTATTGTATGGCCCCTGTCTTTTAGATGGTGATAATCAGTTTGGGTTTTGGTCTCAACAAGTCAGGAGGCTTGCCAGAGATCATGGGGAATAAAGACTTCTGCTCCTTATTTCCCTACTAGGTGAAATCACAGCTCAGCAAATAGGTCCAGCCTTCTGGGCAGGTAAAGTGTAGACAGATGAGAACCCTAAATTTCTCCCATTCTACAGACACTCAGTCCATTTGAGCTGGGCTGATACCATTCTCTAGGTGGTAGAGAAGCCTCAGTGCACTGGGAAATCTGGACTAAGGAGATCCTCTCAGGCCTGAGCATCAGGGCTAGCTGCATGGGTTTCTAATCTGGAGAGTTTCTTAGTGTTCCACGAAGAGAAAGACCAAGGCTTTGTGTAATGCTCTGCTATCACCATCTTGAAATTCTTAATAATTTTTGAACAATGAGTCCTGTATGTTTATTTTGCCCTGGGTCCTACAAATTACATAGTTAGTCCTGCCTGACATACTGCATGAAACCCTTGCAGCTGAGAGAGTGGAGGCTGAGTTTAACCCGTCTGGCCTCCCATTGTGAGCAAATAGTTGGGAATGACCATAGACACTATCAAAGTTTAGAGATTATAAATAACAAGGCAACTGAAGATATAGTACAGGTTGGATCTACAGTTGCACAACGCATGTATTCAGGTGCCAGACAGGCAACCTAATGTCGGAAAGGGCTGTTATAATCAGGGAAGGTTAGCTCTGGGCAAGCAGAAAGAGCATGTCCTGTCTAAAGACATTCAAATTCAGTTTTAAAAACACTGGATTGTATTAGACAGAATATACAAATGGATCACCAATTTGCAACCCATGCTTAGGCAAAATCCAGGAGGCCATTGTAAATCCATGGTTATTCCCCAAGACACCACTTATCTTACACAGTTTTTTCAGAACTAAGATTTTTCAAAGTCAGACTAGGATGTCAGGTTAGTTCATATATTGATTTTTGTCATTCTTCCATTGCCTCTCAAAGATGCAAACGTATGTTTTACACTTAGGACACTTATTTGGCACTAGGCCTTGTGTTGAATGCTCCTGTTTTCTTTTACTTTGAGCAGCCTCACCCTTGTCACTCATGCTATATTTGATATTTGCTGTAATATGATTAGATAATTGTGGTGAAGGCATCATTCTCTGAGCAGATGGGCTGAACATTTAGGGTGAGCCCTGTAGCACAGTGAATGAGAGCATTGAGAACCTGGCAGAAACTGAACAGTGTTTGTGTGTGTGTGTGTGTGAGTGCTCACCAAAAACAAGATTCGCCCCAAAACAGCTGGCAAAATTGGCCCAGTCTTGACTGTCGCTGCAGGGACTCCTGAGAGACTAGGGGAGTTATCATTTTAACAGTTGAACACTGTTCCCTTTAATTTCCGAATATTGCCCAGGCTGCACACTGATGGAGGTACATTAGTCAGTACGCAACACCTTCCCCAATTTTAAGTTGATTTGTTAGCTTTCTCCCAACATGTTTAAATGCATACATACATCAGAACTGAAATATCTTATCCTGATTCTTGGACTTGGAGGAAAAAAATTGAAGTCTTTATGGCATAGCAATGTGACTTTTGAGTGCCTAAATATATAAGACATATAAGATGCAGCCAAAAAAGTGAAAGACCTGGAATCAAATTCCCATTCTTTTTGTATGGTGTAGACTTGCATAAATCACTCAACTTTTCTGAGCCTCCATTTCTGTATCTGTAAAATTGGATCATAATGATAACTACCTTATTGGGTTGTTGCAAGGATCAGATGAGACAACGGTGCCTCCTGGTCACCCAGAGATTTGAGGGTATTCATAGTTCAACAACTCATTCATGGAACACAGATTGGTAAAGTCTACCTTGCATGTGAAACCCAGAAATCCTCCTCTGGTGATACAAGGAGAGAATCTTTCAAGAATTAGACAAGAAACGCTACTTTTATCCAAATAAATTCCTCTTGTATAAAAATATGTAATTTACTGAAAATGGGGAAACTTTGGAGGAAAAGAATATCAGCTACTTTGGATGGGACTAAAAGATAAGAAAGAAAACTAAACTTCATAATCCTTAGGCCTGTAGGTTCTCTAAAACTCAAAGATCTAGGATTTAGAGATATAGGTTATCTCAGTAGACACTGAATTACTGGAACAACACCAAGAGTCCTGTGAATCATCTCTCTTCTTTCCAAAGGATCCCGATGATGTCATTTGGATCATATAAAACCAGAACCATCCTGTGCCAAAGACCTTCCTGCTCGCTACTTTTACACTGAGTGATGGATAGGGCCTATGAACTTCCACTTGCTCCAGTGGCTTCTCTAAGATGTAAGTGAACTTTATCTTTAAGAAATTAAAGCACTCTGAAAAGACCAGTGCCCCTGGGAGCCTCCTAAGAATTATGGTATTGGGTAGGTTTCATATGTGAAGTGGAGTTGAAAGCATTCTGCACATCACCTCTTGATTAATCTTCTTTTAAAAAACCATATGGTAGGCTAAATAATGGCCCCTAAAGATATCCAGGGACTAATCCCTGGAGACTGTGAATGGGACCTTATATTGCAAAAGGGACTTCCAGGTGTGACTAAGTCAAGTCTCTTGAAATGGAAAGATTATCCCGGATTATCTGGATGGACCCTAAATAATGGAGGTAAATGTCTTTAAAAGGAAGTAGGAGATATGATGTCAACAGAAGCAAGAGATTGGAGTGATGCAAGGAAGGGATCAGGATCCAAAAACTGTAGGTGGCCTCAAGATCCTAGAAAAGGCAAGGAAACAGAATGTTCCCAAAGCCTCAAGAAAGAACAAGACCTGCCAACACCTTCACTTTAGTCCAGTGGAACTGATTTTGGACTTCTAGCCTCCAGAACTACAAATAATTTGTGTTGGTTTTTTTTTAAAGATTTTATTTTTTTTTCCTTTATTCTCCCCAAAGCCCCCCAGTACATAGTTGTATATTCTTTGTTGTGGGTCCTTCTAGTTGTGGCATGTGGAACACTGCTTCAGTGTGGCCTGATGAGCAGTGCCATGTCCGCACCCAGGATTCGAACCAACGAAACACTGGGCCGCCTGCAACGGAGCGTGCGAACTTAACCACTCGGCCACGGGGCCAGCCCCCTAATTCGTGTTGTTTTAAGCCGCCAAGTATGTGGTAATTTTTTCAGCAACAATAGGAAACTAACATGCATTGGTTTCATCAACTTTTACTCTCCTAAAAATTAGCAACAGGTAACTCATAATATCTAAAATATATTGAGCACAATGATATGCTAGGCACTGAGTTCAGTTAATATTTTACATACAGTATTTATTTTTATCTGCCTGACAACTTTTGGGGTTGATATTAGTATTGTCACCATTTTATTGAAAAGGAAAATGAGGTTAATAAGGAGCTAAGTAACTTCCTCAAGGTCACCAGTTAATAACCTGCCTGGTTTTATTGTTTTGTGTCTGTTTTAACCAACTACTAAGTTGTAGCTTTTTCAAAGGCAAAGATTCTATCTTAACCTCCTGTGTTCTGTGATGAAATCAGTTCTCATCATAGTCCCTGAATTCAAATGAAAATAAAAATAAAAATGAAGCCCACCTGAAACCATGATGTTAGCCAATGAGAAAATAATTTTATATGCATAAATTTAATCTATGCCCATCTGTTCAGAATTCTACTAATTACATAAGGGAAGGTGCATCTGATTTCCTTCAACAGTCACCTCCACTCTATCCCTTCTGCCATGTGGCTATGGCCATAGGAACACTTCATGTATGAAACTGGGTTCACATTCTTCTCATTGGTTGCCCCCCTCCTTTATTTTTAAGTGATTCAACCAGAGGAAGTAGATTTCTTGCAAGAGATATGTCATGCAGAAGCCAAGTGCTTCTGGTATTTCATTAGATGCTGATAGCGTTAGATTTTAAGTTGACACCAAAGCCTAATTAAACATTATGCCAGTGCACATATTCTGCAAATTAAGACACAACACATTACGGAGCCCAGTCTAGGATAAGTTAAAAAGGAAGCTGTCAACATGCAAAGAACCCTGTTAAGTGCTTTAAAGAGAAATTTTGAATTTAAAATGCAAATGGGTTGAGGCCTCCTTTCCTTTCAGATTGAAAAGAAAAATTCGGTGGGGTAGAGAGAGTTTTATTTCATTTTGTACTAATCACTGAGTTTTGACTCCAGTTGCAACCACAGTATACTACAGCAGTGTTAGAAACGGCAAGAGGAACTAGCCTACAGCTAACAACTCACTTTTGGCTCCTCACTAGCTGAATGAAAAGCCAGAAGCAAACCAATCCCGTCAACGTTGACAAGTCAACACATGTGTTGAAAAAGAAAGAAGTTTTCGGATTGAAACAGGCAGGACCACTGGCACCCTTCAGATCTGCACAGCTGTGGAAAAGTTCTGTACCTGACTTCATCAAACTGGGGGGGGGCGGAGTGCTGGGAAAAGCCAGAGAGGTTGTGAAAGCTGAGGTGATGGACTCCAGAGCTGCAGAGCCGGGAGCAGAGCTGAGTATACTGGCTGTGACAACCTGAGTTTTAGGAGAGCAGTGAGGACAGTGGGCCGAGGGAAAAAGTGATGTAAGAGGTAGAGAGATTTGGGGTGCTCTGCTGTGCTCACTGGATCCTACCTCTACCCCAATTCCCATTACTTTTCTTTGAAATGTTATTTGTATTCATCCAGTAAATACCAAGTCGTTGTTATGTTGATGCTCTGAGCAAACAAACATGAATAAAAAGTGGTTTTCTGACAGAGCCTGCATTTGAGAAGGGAAAGAAGATCCAGACATAGACCTTACTAGCCACCCTGCTGGTGATGAATGTCTCCAGGCTGCAGGTGAAAACGGTGTCTGAGGCAGCTCATGGAGGAAGCATCTGTGAAGGCCCCACGGAGACAAAACGTTTGAGTGGGACCTTAAAATAAAAGTAGAATTTGGACCATCGGACCTGAAGGAGAGGTAAGATACAGACTCAGGTACTTTGAAAACAATGTTTAAAAGGAAAATCATTGGAAGAATTAAAAAGATTGACACAAAAGAAAGGTCATGTCTGTTCAGCTCAACCAAAAGAATCCTAACTTGAGCACTTTCTTTTCTGAGTTGTTTATTTGATTGTAGCTGACTCTAAGCCATTTATATGGCCTTTCAAGGGGCTGAAATCGCAGCACTGCCTACTTTGAATTTTTAATTGCTTTTTCTTAATAAATAAAACAGACTTGAGAGGCAGGGATCTGATTGAAAAACTAATCCAGAAAATTGGATATAGTTGGTTTTATAAACCTTGTCATTGGATCATTAAAATTGTTTAAATCTTCTAACCTCTTCAGAAAGAACTCCATAAGCCTTGGTCAAAGCTCCATGCCAATAGTCAACCCAATTTATTTTGTTTCCATTAAATTCATTCTCACCATATGTGCAATAATCTGTTAAATAAATGGAGAACACAAACACATATGTACACGTGCGCACGCACACACACACACACACAGAGTCTTCTGCTCTTAAGGAAGTTAACACTTTGATGGAAAAAAGGGTTTGTGTCCATGAAAAAACTATAGAAAATAATACATTATTTGATAAAATACTAGATTGAATACAATTCAGTGCCAAAAAATAGAGTAAAAGACAATTTCTACGGGTGGCAGACATGGAAGGAATCAAAGTTAGAAAAGCTTAATTGAAATTGGCTCAAGTTAATAATTTTTCAAATGTATAAATACTACCATCTAAAAGAAGATTTGATAATTTTATCATGGTATATCGTTTGAGATCCAAAAATGAAAAGTGACATGGATCCATCAGAAACGGCAATTTTGAGAAACTTGTCAAGTTTTGCTTTATTTGAAGTTCTTATCTTTAAAAAATATCTTTAACATATTGAACTATTCAATTTTCTTAAAATTGTCCTAGGGAAACTGTGATTTTTTTAAAATTTATCTTGATTTTAAGAAAGAATTAAGGATAATTTACTAAATAACATAATTGTAGAAAAATTGATTGAATGGCATTTAATGGATTTTGCTCACTGAAATAATGAAATGGTAATTGCTTAATAATGTCAAATTATTTTCTGCTGTATACAATTATTAATTATATGCAAAGAAGAATAGTTGATTTTTTTTGGTAACTATGATGATTGAATAAATTATTTAATAACATCCAATTAATTGTGTTCTGTTCAATGATAAGATGATAACTGATTGAAAAGTAATAGATGAATTTAGTCTTCACACAGTAAGCAATACTACATGGAATAAAAATCCCTATTAAATCAAGACAAGGAATAAATCATATATTATCCTTAGAAATCAATAGGTTCTGTTAAAATTAATTTCTTTTTTATTTTAAAAAGTGAATTGGAATACAACTTTGTGCCTATAAACGTTTTTTTCCAGAAAAAAAAAGATGAAAGATATTACGTAAACCCAGTCTGGTCCCTTTTTATGCAGTGAAACAGGGACTCTTTCCCTATCATTAGGATTTCAGAAAAGAGAATGACATAGTATAATCTGAAACTCTGTGAACCTGGGAAAGGCTGATAAATAACAGGATTCATATATAATTATTCCTGATGAGCCAGACAAGCTAAGACAAAATTCCCTTGAACATTACTAATCATAAGAGGTATTTCCATTGGCAAATTCTTTATCTCTTTTTCCATGTCTGGAAAAATGTCCATCTTTCCTTCACTAACAATCCCCTCCTTGATAACAATAGTAGTTAGAGAATCATAAACCTTAGAGTTGGAGTGGATCTTAAAATTCATCCAGTTGCATTGTCTTCCAGTTGCAAGAACGTGTCTCCTCTTGGTGCTGTCAGTGCGCTGCACAGGGATCATGGGCTTGGGCAGCCGTGTGGGATGAAAGCCTTCAGCCAGAGGTGAGTGTTCCATGTACTCTCCCTGCAGCACGAATTGCCGCAGAATCTTCCCCACTCAGTGTAGCAAGTACTGCCTCCATGTAGTAACTGATGAAAATGTCCTAAAGGAGAGAGTAGAACAAAAGAAAGGAGGAAGAAGCAGGTCGTGTTAGCAATGGAAGAGAGGAAGAGAAAGAAAAATCCTGTGCTGATGGAGCACGTTCTAATCATATGGTGAAAATTAACTCGAAAGATAGATAGATAGACAGACAGATAGATAAGATTGAGATAGATAAATAGCTAGTTAGATAGATAGCTAGATGGGTAGATAGATCTATATGGGTAGACGGATAGAAGGATGGATGGATGGATGGGTGGATCTATTGACTAATCTTACTTAGGATTCTTTGGTCACATGACAAAACACCCTCTCTACCTCTGCTCACCATTACTGCGGTGGCCAAAGGCAGGCAAAGAAAACTTCACAGTTTGGAGGCCTAAAATTAATTTTGCTATTGGACTTCTCAATTTTTAATTAATATTTTCATTGTAAAGAATTTTTTTCTAGAATGTTTTTCTGTGGGGGGAGTGGAGGAGGCTGCAAAGGCAGTTGTAAAAATTTACACAAAAGGGTCACCAATAATAACACTCTGTAATTTGCTTCCTTTTACTCTAAAATATAGCTTGCCTGCTTAACACCTAATTCTTTTTAACAGCTGCATAATATTCTGTTGTGTATTTCCACCATTTATTTAACTAATCTACACATGATGGATGCTTAGAGTGTTTTTGGTCGTTCAGTAACACAAGCCTCTTGAATTTTAAAAACTTCAGAAAAGTAGATTGAGAGGCAGCCCATACAGAGAATATTCATTAAATAATAGGCCAGACATATGTGATAATAAACACAGTGTGAAAATAAGAGTGTCAGTGTTCTTTGCCTAGCAATCAATTAAGACAGCAGCAGGGGTGATTCAATTGACTCCAACATTTAAGACTGACAATTGGAAACGAAATTTAAAAAATGGTGAATTTACTTCCTGTCTACAAACACTATCGCAGTTACTTTGTGACCTTGGCAAACCTCTGCCTCTTGACCCTCTTCTGGAAAGTGATAATAAGTCACATCTTATGGCAAACATCCCTATGTGACATTTTACCCAGTTTACAGTCATAATGGATCACTTATATTAAAGAGAATAATTAGGATGAACTTACATGGTATTAAATGGACAATGACGTTGGCACCGTTCTCCGAAGCTCATTGTACACACTGCCTAGGGGATGAGATAAAAAATAACTACTTATCCTTTGGCTCCACACTTTGAAATTAAGGCTCGATATGTAATTCTTTTTTCTTCTTATTTACCTTGGAATTTCACTGACTCATTCACTCAATCATTTACTACATAATTTTTTAATGCTCACCATGGTCCAAGCACTGTGTCAAGGGTAGAAACACAAAGATGAATGTGCCCTCAGGTAGTCTGTGTCTCCACATGACTTAAAAAGCATTCGGAAAGGGCAAGCTATTATTCTCTTCGCCATTTTACACAATTAAATCTGGATTCTTTCAGATCCTCCTATGGCACCCTTTCCAATCATGTTCTCATTCCCTGGGCTCCAGTTTTAAGACATAGAAGGCAGTTCGGTGCCGCTGCAGCTTAAGGAAGATGGGGCCTGGACGAGACTGGAAAGGACCTCAGCTAAAGAATTTGAACTCTATTTTGTAAGTGTAAAGCCTTTCAACATGGCAGTGATGTGATGAAACCAGTGACTTAGGAAGATAACTGGAAATAGGGTAGACTGAAGAAAAAAATTGTATTAAAAAGCAAAAGAGAGATGATGGAAAGTCTGAAATGATGAAGGCCAGTGAAAGTGGAAAGGAGGAATAATTATAGAGGCATTTCAGAACAAGAATCAGAAAGACATAGGGACAACTGAGCATTGGATTGATGAAAAAGGGCACACAGATTTTTAAAAAGCTCTTTTTTTTTGCCAGGGGTGGGGAGAGGGTGTTCTTTATCTGTGTGTCACTCTCACCAGAGAGCTTGGTGTTGTGTGTGTCCCTGTAAAAACCTCAGCTTCCATTAAACAAAGTGCTCTTCGTAAATGCCTTCCTTGTAAGACCTGGCTGCCCTACCCCAAGCCATTAGTGGGAACAGAACGTTAATAAGAAGGGACTGTGGTATCTCTAAGAGAAGCTGACCTCCTTCAGCGGAAGCAGGGCACCCATTATAGCGTAATGATAAATCACGAGCTTTTCCCTTCCATTATTTTCCTAGAAGACTCTTCTCTGAATGCATAAACATACTGGAGGGAGGAAGAAAAAAACAAGCAACAGATGAACAGAAAAATGGAAAAAGAGAGAGGGGGCAGACAGACAATCAACAGACTCCCCCTGGGATTTAAAATGATAAATGCACCATACACATCCACATATTTGCATATAGTGAAACTTTAACATAACCTCATAAGGCAAAATCTCCACAAGAAAATGTGTACTTGAACTGTAAGATACAAGAGCCTCATTTTGAGAATTATAAATACAAATGTCATTTCAAGGAGTGCCTAATTATATTTAATTTTATGGTGTTTTTCTCCCTATCCCTGAAAATTCAAAGACAAACTAAACCAAGGTGAGGGAGAGAAATCAATAAAATTTATAACTGAACTTATTAGCTACTTTCCTTAGCCAATCTTTCAGCTGTATCCATGATCCCCTCACATTTAACAGAAATATGCTTTCAGGGGAGATACTTGCTGGGTTCTCCTCACTTGACATATTGATCAGGAGCCAATACCGAGAAGGTGTAGGCCATTCTTGCTGGCTCTACAATAACGTCTACAAGATAGTTCAATAACTATTGCTAAAGACCTGCTCTTATGTCAACCATAGCATTGTGGCTCTCACGTGTCTTTTGTCTCCAGAACCTAGGACATGCCAGCCAAACACCGAAATGAGTTTTAGAGCTCTTGGAAGATAGCTCCTGTTCAAAAGAAACAGGATCAGTGTGAAAGCATGATGGGAATGAATAAGGGAGGTTCGAAGGGGGCTGATCTGAATACTGTGAGTTTTTATACTTTGTCTATGTGTCTCAAAGAGCTCAGATTGAGTGCAAGGATTAGTGGGACCGTTTCCACCCAGCTGAGTACATCAGACTCCGTTTTTGGCTTCTATTCTGCCTCTGATACCAAGAGCTTCTTGCTTAGACTAGATCTTTCCATATTTGAAACCTTATCTTCCACCAAAGATCTTTGGTAGGCTCTCATCAAGTTATTAAACTTTATTTCCTCTTCCAGTTATGTCTGGAATGAATACTATAATCTGGCTCTAGTCCAGTGGAAATGGTCTCTTGTTTGGCCAGCCCCAATTTGCTGGTAGGGGGAACATTTGGATAGATGAAGAATTGGATGTTGGACATTAAGGGGACTGGCTTCAAAGGAAGTCTAGCTATTCTTAGTTCTTTGTGTCTTTGGATGTGCCTCTGTCTATCTAACCTTCTAGAGGATATTTGATAGTTTGATAGCCTCCATGTTTTCCACCATCCCATCTTAAAAAGCTTCTGTTTGCTTTGGAGATCCAGATCCATGTGGTTCTGAGGAGGCTGAATCGACCTCTGGTTGAGGAAATCAAGTACATGATGTGGGCAAAGCCAACTGGTACATTCCATTACTCTCTTCCTTCATATCCTGGTCAGAGCAATGCTTTCAGTACTGAAAATGTGGCCTAAAAAAGTCCAATTGGAATGAATTTCAGGAGTTCTTCTGGGGATGCTGGCATGAAGGTCTCATCTCTCTTCTGCAGATGTAAATGAGGAAGCATCTAACTGTTGGAGCTCCTGCAGCTATCTTGGAGCCATGATAAAGTCAGGCTTATAATTCATCCCATAGCACATAAGATAAAACAAAGAAATAAAAAAAGAAAATGGTCTTTGAGGCAATATTGGACTCCATACCAAGCTCACTGTAGCTAACCCTGCTTTCAGAAATTCCATTTATTTTAAGTACTGTATTAAACTTGAGACCAGTTTGAGTCCGATTTTCTTTTGTTCACAATCAAATGCACACGAATTTGCTTGTGAAGGGTGGTTTGTGTCCCTGGCTTCAATCTTGGTTTTGGTGAAGATCTTTCATGGACCTGGTGTAGGATTTGTAAACAGTAGGTGTATTTCCAATGTGTTCTCCCTTCAAGCAAAAAGGAACTGACATGTTAAAGTGCGTGTTCCAAAATTATTGGTCAATTTCTTTTTTCTCTATCGGGCATCTAGCTAACTATGAAATTATTCCTCCAACATATTTGATATACCATATTTCCATGACATCGGCCTTTTTCAATTTTATCAAAAAATTGTTTTCCATGCCCCGCCTCCTACTCTCTTTTCTTCATGATTGCTTTTTGGTTTTTGGTTCCATAGCTCTTTTTGGTGACAGTTACAGATATCCCCCCTTTGTTTTAGTAAGAATTGCAGTTAGCGCCACTTGCATGGTAAAGGACCAGATCATCTTTGGCTTGAGCTGAGAAATATTTCCTCCCAGACTACTGATTTACGCCTCAGATTTTTCAAATATTCTCTAATAGTGCTTTCCATCAATCGCTACTTTATATGTACAAAGTATTCATTGCTTTCTAATAACTCAGACTGCTTTTCCTTAGCTTTGTTGCTAACATCTATTTTTTTGACCATATGTCAGTTCAGTAACTCAGTCATTTTTGAGCCATCATGATTTTCATCCCTTTTCTGATTTATCGGTAGACTACTCTCTCTCTAGTATGCCTTTCTTCCTTAATATATTTGTGAAAGACTCTTTGACCTCAGCTGTCCTGAATGTTTTACTGTGCTTGCTGGCCAAGGCTTTTGCAATGGGTGCAGTTTTATGAATCTCAAGATGAGCTTTTCTTTTAAAAGCTGCCCTTTCGGTTCATTTAAATAAAATGTCTCCAGCTGTGTTTATGCTACAAAACCACTTATAACCATCTTCTCCACTTTGGCCTCAAATATTTTTTATTCTCGGACCTCCAGATTGCAGCCACAACGGATTTTGTTTTTATACTTTGCTATGAACCTTTCTACTCCCATCTTTGGGTCTGCATTATAGCCTGAGTCCTGAGATAAACACACTGGCCTCATAAGCAGCATCTCCATTGTAAACCTCTGCTCAAAGACCCAGACAGTATCTCCCATCACCAATTTTCAGAAGTTCATGGTGTCCAGTGAGCCGCCCACTTAGTCTATATGGGGGGTTCTGGCATTACCAGAGGCCCTTGTGACTGTCTGGAAGTCTACTTAGGGACTAAGGAATGTGGTCCACAAGACTTATGACTGGCTAACTATGGGCTAAGGAATTTGGACCATAAGAGCTAAAAAGAAAAGATAATCATACTGGTTTTTTGGGGTGTTTTTGGAGGAAGATTAGCCCTGAGCTAACATCTGCCACCAATCCTCTTCTTTTTGCTGAGGAAGACTGGCCCTAAGCTAACATCCGTGCTCATCTTCCTTTACTTTATATGTGGGACACCTGCCACAGCATGGTTTGACAAGCGACGCACAGGTCTGCACCCGGGATCCAAACCAGGGAACCCCCCAGGGGTCAAAGCAGAACATGTGAAATTAACTGCTGTGCCACCGGGCCAGCCTCCATACCAATTTTTTAAAACTATATTTTCAATATGACCATAGTTTAAGTTAACAGAGTCTCTTCCTGGGTAAACTGTTGATTCTTTATTTTGTCTTCTCTCCACTATTTTGCTTTGTCTTCCATTTTCCTTTCCTATTCTTCTCTGATGCCATTTGAATATTCCTTCAATTTCACAAACAGACATAGGAAACCCATTTGAATAAACTCCTCCCACCTGTAGCAGTGGTGCCATACTAAGGAAACTGGCAAATACTATGTGGTTAGGGTAGATTTTCCTTTGTAGTAAGAAATGTTGGCAGTTCTGGTAGTTATTCTCTGACTGTAATCAAGCATTAACACATTATTCCAGGCAGTGCTGTACTATAGCTTATCAAATATCAGCATGGAGCATATACAAGCTTGATCATGGGAACAGGGAAAGTTGGGAATGTGTGATTGAGAGTCCAGTAATGCAAGGTTTCCAATACCGGGTAGCCCAAAGTAGGAAAAAAATAGATTGATTCTAAGCCAAGTGCTTAAGAGAAATCTGAGGATCGAGCTGGGAAGACAAAATACCAACACTGAGTTCAAAGAAACAGGAAAACAACTTTACATCGGAAGTAGAGCCAAGAGCAAGAAGCCAAGCAAAATCAGAATAAGGAGTCCTTATTGGATCATAAAGAAGAGAGTTCTCCTTAAGGTAATAAATGGATTCATGTATGTGATACTAAATATTATTAAATAAATCCTATAAAATTAAGGGATTATGATTATTGATTAATAGGAAGAATGGTTCATAAATGCCTTGGGAGAAGTAGTTTAGGGAGTGAGAGACCCGAACAGGTTTTACAGTAATTTAGATGCTGCTGCTGCTCTGTGCCATTGGTTTGTCCGGGAGTTGGCATCATTTAAACTTTTTTTTTTTCTTTAAAGTTTTATTTTTTTTCCTTTTTCTCCCCAAAGCCCCCCGGTACATAGTTGTATGTTCTCAGTTGTGGGTCCTTCTAGTTGTGGCATGTGGGGCGCCGCCTCAACGTGGTCCAATGAGCAGTGCCATGTCTGCGCCCAGGATTTGAACTGAGAAACACTGGGCCGCCTGCAGTGGAGTGTGCAAACTTAACCACTCGGCCACGGGGCCGGCCCCTCATTTAAACTTTTTATTGAACTATTTCCTAAGATATGTATTGGCCTTCTTGGTTCAATGTTCAAATTTCTTATAAAGTAACACCGCATGTGCTGTCTGTGTAGCAGATTTTAAAGACAAATTTGCCTTTATAGTAGTTATTGATTATATCAGGAAAAGTTCAACTTTTTCTGACAACGTGCAAAAGACCAGCACAATTTTACTTAAATGCGACATTTTATCCGTAATTACATGTTGATATTGCGAAGTGGCCTTTAACCATAAGCATGATTCCTCACCCATTTATGCTGTAAGAGTGTGATCATCAGTGCTACAGTTTTTAAATGGCTCAAAGTGTTTCCTGTTACATGAAGTTTCTTCTATTCCTTCCTCCATTAATAGATCTTGGTGACCATAATTAAGTTGACAATACTCTAATAAGCTTATCCATAGTTAACTGATAAAAAAATTAATTATCTTGTTGACTCTACCTTGGTTAGAAAGAATGTTCCAATTGAAGTTACCTGTGAGTTGCTTCTATTTTAGAGCTCATACATTTAATAGTTGAAAATATTAATAATAATTTAAAAGCAAATGGTGTACTAAATGCAATATGGTATGGTGGATTCAATCCTGGAAGGAAAAAAAGGGACATCAATGAAAAAAAACTGCTGAAACCCAAATAAAGCCTGTAGTTTAGTTAATAGTATTGTAACATTGTTAATTGCTTACTTTTGACATATTCATCAAGGTTATGTAAGATTTAGTTAACACTTGGGGAAACTGAATAAAAGGTGTATGGAAATTCTTTATACTACCTTT